TTTCTGGTTATATTTGGGGATGTTCGATGTCTCAAAATCTGAGGCAAAATGAGGAAACAACGGTCTGGCTTAATAAGGCTTTGCTGTGAGCCCCATCTATTGGAAGAGCTGAAGATAAAGGCTGGTCTGCTTTTCTTTTTAAAATCTGTTGATGTGAATTTTGACTGCAACTGTTTCTAAGAAACATTGTCATTATCTGTATATGATTTATTGAAACATGTACTCATCTGACTCATGGTCTTGCTGGTTGACAAGGTACATGTAGATTTTCATTCCTGTGTAGGTACTTTTAAGATCCATTAGGAACTTTTCATCTATGGTGGGATTGACCCGATACTTGCATTGCAGGCACACTACTCCCAGCCTGTGATGTCCTCTGATCATTTTAACATTGACCTGTGCTCAGCACAAAACACAGCAGCAATACTGTTACTCTGTTGCCTTAATACATACTGAGTAAAGTGCAGGGAGTTTTGGGAGCAAGGGCCAAATCCTGGGATGTAGGTGGCAGAGTGGGGCACCCTTATGTAGCCTCGTGTCTCTTCAGGTCTTACCAGTGACAGTTGAGGAGTAGGGTAGAAGGCTCCATCCCTCGTGGCTGGATGCACAGCCTGGTCATGGGGGTGCTCTGAGGATTAGGAAGCATGGGTGTACAGTCAGAAAGGAACTAAACCAAGGTTTCCACCCTCTTCACTGTTTGGTTTTGTATGATAGTTTTTATTGGTCAGTAATATTAAAATGGAGGTGGCACTTTTTGCTTGCAGATGTTAGATGTAGTCTAGGGGACCCACACTTAAAATCAGACCTTGAAAGGGTTACCTGGCAGGCACTTAAATATGGATTTGTCCATTGATCTTCTGTGCCAGTGTTCCGCTGTGCCTGGTTGGTAAAGATCCCGGAGTCCTCTGTGCCACTTTGTGGGCATAAATTTGAAGCCTCTTTGTTTAAAAGTTTAAAATAAAGAATATTGCTAATGCAGGATCTGAGGTTGTACAGCCAGTTAGGAGGCAACTTAATAGAATAAGTACAGAACAACCACGTTACTCATTTGAGGCTGTGAAATTGGAGGAAAGTAGAGAATTGGCCCTAGGGTCAACAAATATAAAGGTGGGGGGCTTTTAAAGGTGAAGTTAGAAGCCCTTTAGAAAAATTATTTACTTGTTTAGACTGGTGTGATATGCAGCACACTGGGACTGCCAGGTTAGGGCCACACCAAGTCTTTCTATTCAAGGAATTTGCAATAGCAATCTGTTGGAAACCAAGCCACTACTTGGCACAAGCACCCACGGGTGGCATTTAAAAGGCCTGATAACCCACAATCATTTGCATCATTGACTGGGACACTGCCTTTCTCCCTCTCTTTCCTGGGCATGTCTGATTTTTGCCTTGGTCACCTCCTCTTGCTTCTTTTCTTACATACTTGGAAGTGTCCCAAGAATCTGGGGGGTCCTACCCAAAGGGCTGCTTGCTTTGTTGACATCCAGAGGATTGTAAGAGCTATGCCCCTACTAGACATTTAAATACATGTTAATTTCCAAACTTGTCAGCTTTAGAGGTGCACAACACTGACATTCCACTCCCCCCCCCCCCCCCCCTCTGTACCGCCCAAGGGGGGCGACG